CAGGAATGACAAATGACAAAAAATGTATTTATTGCTCTCAGAAAAGCTGTAAGCTTATGTACATTATCTCACTGGATTATCACAAATGGATTGTAGAGGGAGAAGGGACAAAGGTAAGATAGGTGTTAACGTAAGGGGAAGAAGGAGCAGAGAGGTTTTTATGTGGAATTTTTCTTTTTTTAAAGAGGGAGTTGCAGGTTTGCACAAGAAGGCCTCCTCAGTTTATTTAATGTGGGTTGGGTGCTGGAGTTTCTGCTGTGCATTCACACATCGTAGGTGACCTTGTGGACTGAAGCAGAAGGCTTATAAATAAATAACTGAAAACTGGGACTGAATTAAGGAACACGCCGTTAGATTATTCGGGAAGGCAAAAGCAATTAAATTAATGATTGTTATTTCAGATCTTCACAAGTGCCTCTAACTAGTATTTCAAGAATGCTTTCTAACTAGTGTTTGAAAGGCATCCCTTACCAAATTGCTCTTTATAGAGAACCAGACCAGTGGTCTTCAAAGTTTAAAAACCCCTGTCTAAATGGAGACCGTGTAATGCTGTCTAATAAAAAATAGAAACCAAAACCCAAACCAAAATTGAGACAACAGGCACAGTGCTTTTGACTGTGTTTTATTTTAGCAAATGAATTGAGTATTGAGAGTGCTGAGGATGAGAGATAAGTAGGAAGATTTGTATCAGAGCTTCTCAGGCATTAGCTTTAAAAATGAAAAAAAGAAAAGTGTAATGACATCAAAATCTATAGTAGTTTGCAAAATGTCAACCTTTTTTTTTTTTATTTTTTAAAAAAGAAGATTATAAACTTGATGGTAACAGGATTGGTCAGTTTATTTTTTTGGTGACTTCTCATTGTGTATGTGCAGTAAATGGATGAGGCTTTGAGCAACCTGGTCTAGTGGAAGGTGTCCCTGCTGATGGCAGGGGGGTTGGAACTGGATGATCTTTAAGGTCCCTTCCAACCCAAATCATTCTATGATTCTATAAATTAACATAAAGAATGATGTTGGAATCTGTTGATTTAATTTTGTTTCATTATTTTAAAATCTACCATATAAACTGTTAATACCTGCTAAAGAAAATCTGTCTTTTTTTTTCCTTCCCCTTTTTTTTAGGGAACAAATAAAGAGAGTTAAAGACTCTGAAGATGTCCCCATGGTGCTAGTAGGAAACAAATGTGATTTGCCTTCCCGAACAGTAGATACAAAACAAGCTCAGGATTTAGCCAGAAGTTATGGAATTCCTTTCATTGAAACATCAGCAAAGACAAGACAGGTAAAGCTCAAAACTTACTAGGCACAAATGTAGAACTCTCATCTGAATTATCATCATGTTAATTATTCTAGGCATTGGCAATTGCTTGATCATATCAATAGATACATTTCTCCAGAGTAGAAATTCCTGTGGTGTCTCTTCTTTCTGTCAACTCACTGGCAACTGGTAATTGTTTATTAATGAGTGATTTGCTTCAGTTGTGCAAACTCAAAGAATGAGACCTGGGCTGCTCTTGCTCTCCACTGTCAGATGGTTGTGGCATTCTTAACATTGTGATGGGCTTTCACAGAATAAAAAGCACTTCTACACAAAGGTGAAATGCTTTTTTTCCCCCCTCAGCAAGAGCAGTGAGAAAAGAAAACCAGCTAATTAGTTTACTGCTTTAAGTCTTTTCCTTAATAACAAAAGGAATTTTAATTTGAGGCGTTGATTCAGCATTAGTGGGACGTGCTTGATACACCTTTTTCTAGCTAGGCAATTTATCAGCAGTCTTTTTTGAAATTACTGGATTAATTGCTTATGTAAACTGATACTCAGAAGACTTTGGAGCTCATAGTTGGTTTATTGTACACCACTGGTCCAGATGAAAGAGGCAGCCACTGGGGTCCTTGCAGCGCTCCTCTCAGGGTTGACTAGGACAAAGGTGCACACAGTGGTACATCTCTGTGTTCAGGATAAGCTCTACAGATGTAGGGGAAACTGGTTCTGTTCTTCTGGAAGAAAGTATTATTTTTGAAAAGCACTGATTTGTGGTTTTTCTTTTAAGAGTAAAGACTGTCTGTACAAATTAGATGAGACCTAAGCGGCTGAATAACTCATATTATAATCAGAAGTGTTTTGTGCAAGTTGAGTCAGGAATTAGGTGTAGCAGAAGGGAGCAAACAAGAGCAGAATACTGCAATTTGAGCAGCTGCTCAAGGTAACTGCTGAATAGGTTCAGCTGCATCACTTGGCAGGATTTCCTCATAGACAGTAAGTTGTTTTTAGATAAAAGAAATGAATATTTTGTTAGTGCAAATTTGCTACACCCACTCAAATTTCTGACAAGTGGAAACCTGGGCTACTTGGTAAAACTTCACAGAGGAATCAAGGGAATGCTAACTTTTGGCAGTAGAGAAAATCTCTGTGTAGGTCTGTTTTTTTTTTTTAATCCTACCTAACTTTAATGGCTGATAATAAATTAGGCCACAGGAGTGTTCTGAAGAATGTGGCATATAAATGACTGAATAATTACGGCGTTCTTGTTTGGAAGGTCCTGTATTAGTGGCTGTCATTGAGATGTTAGAATAAAAAAGGGAGAACTCTGAAATTATGTTTGAGGTTTGAAATAATATAGGTTCTGTGCTAGGCTCTAAATTTCACTTTGGCCTGTTTTGGAGAGCGTCTGGCTTTGTTGAGGAAATACTCCTTTAGCATAGCCACTTTTATTAAAAGCATGTTGTTATGATGGTGTATTTTCAACTACTACTTCTCCTCACCACACCTGTAGGTTACTCCTACAAGCAACCCCACCATGCCTAGCCAACACAGAACGGCATGCTCAAAAATCACCACTCTGTCCAGTTTTATAACCTTTGTTTATGCAAAGTAGCATCTGCTTTTTTATCTTTCAGACTTTTAAGAGGTCTCTGGAGGTTGGTACTTGTTTCAGAGGACAGTAGATGAGTCACATATAAACTATCATTCTATAATTTGATTGCTTTTATCTGTGACTTTAAATTTCTGGAGGTGCCAGCTGAAATGTCATAGAAGGGATCTGACTGGCTTTTGTTTTTCAAAGCTGAGCTTTATACCCTCTACAGATAAGGAGTCCCTAAAGGTGTCTTGTGGATTTTAAAATAAAGATACCAAATAGACTCTTCTGAGAATGTTGGCTTCTAAAAGTTGGAACCGCTGGGTATGGCTGCTGATTCTTTTGTAGTGCTGCTGTTAACATGTTGTGTTATGAAGCTGCTTCATGCTGTGCTAATAGAATATTTTTGAGAAGACAAAGGGAATTGGAGGGAGGATCTGATCTTTAATTACAGCAAGATCATATAAATATTTGTGTATGTGTATATATATGTATACATATGCATTTACATATTGTGATTTTTCAGTCACATTGTCGTATATAAAAATATATGCATATATATATATATACACACACACACACACACACACCCCTTCTTCCAAAGTAACTCTCTTAATTGGAGGATTCAAACCATTTTGCGAGTTCCATGTGGGCCATGGACTATATTTTTATTGGGCAGAATTCAGTCCTTGGCTAAAAATAAATAAATAAGTAAAATTTCTGATTTTCTCTGGTTACATGCAGAACTTCCAAGTATGATGTAGTTGGTGGTCTGGTAACTTCTGGAGCCTGTAGAAAGTCTGACATGAATATTTAGAAGCAGGAACCTTCTTTTCCTTTCCTGTACGTACCTCCCACCACACTGAAACATCAGCACTAATGCTCTGCTGAAGGGGCCCCCAGCATCTTCTTACTTCAGCCCTTCCCCATGCCCCACGTCTGCTGGAGCTCAGAGAGAGTCAGAAAGATTTCTGGGGAAGGAAATGGGGGAGATGGAAATAGAAAGGAGTTGTCCATGCAGTCTGTTTTGATTGCCAGAATTTTGCAAGACTTTTTAAAAACTATGGCATTGTACGCTCACACAGAATGATATCTCGGTTCCAGCTAAGTCAGTTTTTAAGATTTTCAAAAATTCACAAAGCCAAAAATAGGAAAGAGAAAAACACTGAAATGAAGTGCAGAAATAAGGTGTTCTAAAAGTTGGTGTATTTGTTTTTATTTGGTTCTAGCTGGCAATAAAGATGTAAACTTTAACTTACTGCAAAAAGGTTGTGTTTTAAGCCAACTCACTGTATGCATTTTCATATGAATCATCGAGTTCATCAGTGAAGCATTTGCTTAGTGGACCCTACAACTTGGGTATAAGGCTATAGATTATTAATTTTTTTACTTAGACAACTGACTGAAATGAATATAGTGTAATTTATGAAAAACAGTGATAGTTCTAGTTCTAAATGTGAACACGTGTCCGTACTGGTGGTTTTGTAAGACATGTTGCATCACTTAGACTCATCCTTTCACAATCCCTATGCAGAGGAGTATGAATTTCTGAGGTTTATTTTGATAGCTGTTTTTGCTTTCCTCTGTTTGACATAAGCTTTAAACTCAAGTTCATCCCTGTGCACATGAGCGTACAGCTCCCAGTGTTATCAGTAACATCAGTGAGAGACGAGAGGCAAACTTGATTTATCCCCACCAAGGCTGCGTCCTGTATTCTTTCCTGGGCTTCCATTTGCCTGTGAATTACACAAGGGAAAGCTGTAGGGCTGTACCCCAAATGTGATTTGACTTTAGGATGTTGTTTTCCTTGGAACATTTCAGCTGTCCTGCTAGTATTGAATTCAGAGGAAAAGCAGATACACGGGCATTATTGTAAGCATGGTAAAGGATTCCTCAGCGTGTCAGGTGTCGTGGTTGAGAATGTATGTGTAAGCACACTTCTGAAGTGTTTAATGAAGAAGTTGACCTAAATCACAAGGAGGATGTTAAAAAAACATTATAGCTATTTCAGCTGTCTGAGGTACAGTAGGTTAGGCCTCAAACTTGTGATGGAAATAAGTTGAGAACCTGTGCCTGGTCTGATGAAGTAATTGATGCAGTATTTATGGAACTTCATTCCTACATCTCAATTAAGATTAATGAATAACTGATAACTTAGTTTGAGCCAACTTGCATTTTTTTTTTTTTTTTAGGGATTTGTTTAACTTGTTTCACTCCAAGACATTTTTAATGTAGTTCATGTGTACAGATTCAATTTAAAAATTTGTTTTCAGTTAGAACTTTGTCAGGCTTAACAAAGTGGGTTGAGTTTCTTCATGTCATTGGTTTGTTGTGAGGTAAAACTTCTCCAAAAACGCTCAGTCCTTCCCAAGAACAAGGCCTCACGGGGGAAAAAGAAGGGTTTTTTTAATGTTGAAACAAATTCTGGCATCCAGCTCATGTGCTGAGTGACTCCAGGATGCTGAGGAAACAGGTTTGTTATTTACCTAACGTAAAGCTTAATAAGTGCAGCAAAAACAGATACATGTGCACAAACGAGTGAAATTCAGGTAGGACAGACAGCTGTAATTCTGGCACCTCGTAACTTTGGAGTGATTAACTTTGTAACTTTAATCATGATTTTGTCCAGTATTTAATATGAATTTACTGATGTATGTCTGGTATTGAACCATCATCAGATAATAACATGATCAGCTTAACACCCCCTCCCTCCCCAAACTGTCAGAGGTTCTGCATACGGCTGAGTTGTAGGAACTCTGTCCAAACAGTGCTTTGAAGTATTAGGTCTGGTTTAGAACAGCAAAACATTGGCCTTAACCTCTCAGCTAAATGTTACATGAGCTAGATTTTTTGCAGGTTGGTGTATTCTCCAGTATTGGCTAAGCTGACTTTACCAATACAAAGTTTTATGTTGGGAGTGCTTTTATGCAAGTAACATTCTTTTTGCTTGTGTCCTCATGAATAATTTTGATATTATTTGTATAACAGTTGGTTTTAGGAAACCAGTTGTGATGGAGTATGTAAAGGTGGACAAGGAAAGCTTTTGAGATGTCAAGGCTAACTAACTTTCACTGGTTTCCTTTAAGTGCTATTTACAGAAGTGGAATATGTGAAAACTCCTGTTTGTACTTTGATCTGTATTTGAAATAGTCTTTCTTTGCACATGGTCAAATTTTAAATGGAATGTTTGACTGTCTCCTAGGAGTCAAAAGCATCTTGAAAGCATTGCCTCAAGGTTATGGGTTCTTTGGGCTGTTTAGATTTTTAAGTTTTTAATATCTGCCAAAGGATAGTTTTGCTTCCAGTTCTGACAGCTAAAAGAACTGGTTAATCATATTTTAGATATATGGTCCATTCTCATTTAAGGAAAAAATACTGAAGAATCTTAAAATAAATTGATATTAAAATGACTTCTTAAGTTTATAAGACTGATACCTGGCTCTTAAAAATGTCACCTTGTGCTAATGAAAGTAGCAAATGTGTCACTTTACAGATTTTCTGTCAGAATAATTTCCTTCAACAGGATTTATAAGACTGTTCTTGGTGGTGGCAGTAGTAGCAATTTCTTTTCTCGCTCTGTGTCTCTCCCTCTCTCTGTATTGCTAAAGCAAATTGTAGCTCATCTTGGTGATGGGAAAGTTGGCAATAAACGTTGACTGAAGAATTATTATCTGATTATTCAAGTGAAAGCTTCATAATCAAATTACATATTTCTACTGCAACACAGCAGATTTGCAAAAATGTTGATTCTTGTACAGCCTGTGCTTTGGCACGTAGCAGCTGATCAATGTTTACTGTTTTCTCTTCAGGAAATAAATTTCCATTCCTTCCAGGAAAACATAGAAAATATGAGCTTTACTTGGTTTTTGCTGTTTTTAAATGGCTTGCTTGACATTTCTCAAATTCTCAGACTGGGAATGTAAGACTTGTCACCTCGTCGGTACTTCACTACATCCTAACAGAGGACATTGCATATATCAGAGAAATACAATCTAAGAAATAAACCTAATTAATTTAATCTTTAAATTCAAGTGGCAGTAGTTCAGAAGAACCCTCAGATAAGCAAGTGTGTTAAGAATGAGTCTTATATGGGATAACCTGTGGCACAGGTCATGAAAAATGACCCTGTAGCTGTGGGAGTAAATGTCAGCTGTTGTTGTTATTGGGTGCATAATGTGAAGATGAGTTGGAGAGATAATTTATGGAAAATCTGCCAAATACAAACCCAGATTGTGTGTTTGGGTAGTAATAAAGTATTGAGGCTTAAATGGTTGTGCTGTTTTCCAGGATCATCAGTCTGTTCTGTTTTTATTTTCAAATAATGAGTTTGTATTAAATTAACAACCCTGTTGATCTGACTGAGGAGACAAGTAACGAGATTGACAGTAAGGCAGAGGAGAGATTTGCTCTCCCCTTTAAAAGCTGCAGCTAAACATTTTGCATCTTGTTATAACAAGAACATCCTTAGAGTTGTCTAATTTTTTGAGTTTATGCACAGATATAATCAGTTCAAAATAACAGATATTATAACTTAAAGCTGGTGCTGTACCTGCTTATCTTGTGTTTGCTTAAAGATATCTTCAGTCATACCTTATTTTATCATCATCTCTATGTAGGCTAAACACGAAGCTGCAGCAAGGTAGAGTGTGAGACTGGAGAAGTAAAGCACGTAGCTCTGTGTCATCCTTGGAATACTTGAAGAGCTCTCCTCAACCAGAGGAAAATCTGAGCAGCAGAACTTCACAGGCTTCTTTGCCTTTAGTTGTTATTAGGGGACCCTCGTGGTTGCCTGAGTCTGGCCCAGAGAGAACAGATGAGGTGTGTCTTGTACATTAACCAAGCTCTTAAACGTGATAATAATGAATATGTTGCTTGTTCTTCATGGAAGAATAACTTTTATAATTACACTAAGTAATTACTTTCAAAAGTTACTCTGAAATACAACATATTTACAGTGCTTCTTAAAAGCACTTTGCCCTGACTCAAATACCCTTTTTCCTAAATCTTAATAGCATAGTGTTTGACCTGTAAAAGTAAGTAACTTTAAAAACAATATTCCCCAAAATTTAGTATTCTAAGATTTTATTTCTTTGTAACCTCTTGGGAAATGACCTGTATGGACTTTTTCTATACTCTGCTTGTTTATTCCACAGATTTTTGCAAAGATTGTACACCTTCTTATGTAAAGAACAGAACATAAACCATCTTACTGTTCTTGGCCTGCCCAGACAGCAACACGTTACTCACTTTGGCTGAGAAGTGAAAATAGGTGGTTAACTGTGTGTGTGTTTACAAGTATCCCCCGGTTACCAATCTAATAAGGTTTTGTACCTGCTAAATACATCCATGCCCACAAAAAAGTGTGAAAAGATTCAGTAAACACAAGCTGTTATTATTTTCAGCTCTGTAGGCAATAGAAGAATATAATTCCTCTTATTTTTTGTCCAAGTGTTACCTTGCACAGGAAAAAAGGAGGGCTTGAAGTGTAGATGTTTACAGTAATTGGTAATCAATAAATTATTCAAGAGTGTCTCTTTTGCTTGCATTAAAACATATTTATCAAGCAGCAAATGTGCAAGCACAGGATTTTAAATATATAAATAGAGATCCATATAATTCTCTCAAGTAAAGCTCATAATTTCAATGGTTTTGCTGTGTTTTTTTTTTCCCCCTGCCATGGGTGTCCCAATATGTCACGATTGTTAATGAAGGAGTTTTTAAGGAGTTGTGTTTTACAATGCAGAGAGTGGAGGATGCTTTTTATACATTGGTGCGAGAGATTCGACAGTACAGAGTGAAAAAAATCAGCAAAGAAGAAAAGACTCCAGGGTGCGTGAAAATTAAAAAATGCCTTGTAATGTAACAGGGTAAGTTTTGTAATGTAACAGGGTAAGTTTTACAAATCACTTGCCAAATAAAAATGATTGACAGTCTCTTGCAAATCAGACATTTTATGGTTAATTGATGGCATAATTTAAGATACAAAACCAATCAGATTTCAGTATAGTAGTCCTGAATAATGCTCCTAAACACCCAAGTACTATGGATTTGCTTTGTTTGATGGTGTTTTGATAAACAGATTAACAAGAAGTCTTCACTGCATATAGAGTTCTCCATCTGTGAAATGAGAGACCTAGTGCTGAGCGTGAAGAATAAGAGGAAAAAGTTTTGTTACACGTATATTGCAGATACTGTTGAAGTGAATATTGATTGAATCTTCAGGTTGATGAACTGGGGGAGAGGATCTTAATCTTTATAGTCCTTCTCAGATGCAGAACAGGAGGTTCCTAATCCAGCAAAGCAGTATTTGGCTAGCAGCTGGCGTACAGGATTTCTTAATTCTCAGGCCCTTCCTTATGTTCTCACGGCTTAAAAAAAAGTACTCTTACCATTTCCAGAAATACATTAGTTTTCTTTTTTGTTGACAGTAATGCTATGAATGATCCAGATTTGGACAAAATGGTAAGGTTTCAATTTTTTTGAGAGCCTTTAAAAGGGCTTGGGTGGGGAAACAGCAGTGAAATAAAACTGGAGGAGAAGGGTGAGTGTAACCAAAAACAAGAACAAAAAAAACAATACACAAATTATCACAAAATTGTTTTTTATCTGTATACTTCACTGTAAGAAAAAAAAAGAGGATGAGATGGAAGAAGTGCTAGTCTAAATCACAACAGTGCTTTTTGAACAAACCATCAGAATAGGTCCTTGCGTGTATTACTATCCTATCAATTCTTTATCTCTTACTGCACCAGTGCAGAGTGGGTTGTTACTCCTTATATACTTGTCCAACAGGAGGATAACCTGGAATTTTCCATTGTGTAAAAGAAAAACTGTTTGCTTTTCAAGGTGTTGTTTCATACTTCAGAACATCTTGCAGAGAGGTAGTGGAATTTGACTGGTATCCTGAAGAGATGCTCACAACTGTAGGAATATTCCCTTCAATAAAGGACTTTTATTCCTCTTTCCAGGGGAGGGAGGGGAATTTTTTTTTTAATACAAGTTTTACTAGATCTGCTCAGGCTTATTATATTCTTAGGTTTTAAGTGATGAATGAGTGCTCTAATTGTTTAGATGTTTCCTTAAGATACACTTTGTGATACTGTTTGTATCAAAGGTTTCCTTTGCAGGAAACTGGAAGCTTCAGTTACGAAGCACCCCAGTCTTGCATGCAAATAGCAATAAAATTGATGCCATCAAAATACCTTGTTTTATTCTTTCCCAGTTATCAAAAAAACTAACAGGTTGGCAAGATGAGTTTTGATAATAGCAATATGAATTAAATTGCTTAAGCCTATTTCCTGCAACCTTCTGGAAACCAACTTTGCTGTTTCTTGCTGTCTTACGTAGCCATACCTTGAAGTGGAATTTCTTTTTGTATACTGGGAATTTAAAGATCCTGAATTCTGTGTGTTTTTCCTTTCTGTGGACTTCCCTGGGAGAAGGAGAACAGGATGTTGGGAATTTTGGTTTTCATTTTCAGTGGAATTTCTTCAGATTTTAAGGGGTTTTTTTTTGCTAGCTTGCTTTCTACCAGCTTCCTAGTTTCTTTCTGCCTATGTCCAAGAGAAGTATGTTTTGGGGGTTTTTTTGTGTGGGGTTTTTTCCCAGATGGAGGAAATGTCTGTCAACAGTGGATATTGTTGGAGTTTTTTGGGTTTTTTGTTTGTTTATTTTTTCCCCCTGTAAAAATAATGCTGGATATAAGACACTAGAACTTCAAGAGTGTCTTCTCAGGGAGGAAACATTTGTCTTTATAGTCAGGTGAACTCTTATGTAGTATTGGTAGTCACTTCAGCAACTTTGTATTTAGGAGGCTAAACTAGAGAAGGTGTATTCCAAAATTACTGTGGTACAGCTGTATGGTTCAGTAGTGATTCTAGTGGAATAAGAAATCTGGCATTTAAAACAGTCTGGACTGTAGTACTTTCCATTCAGTAAGAAGATTGGTATTACTTCAGTCGGATGCATAGAACATAGCTAAGGAGGGCAGCACCTAATGATGTGAGTCTTTCAGCTGGGATTTTAGACCTCAAAAATATTAGTTATAACACAGTTTGCCATGATAGTATTTATTTTCCTTTTTTTGGTGGATAATAAAATTTGATGGTTCAGAGTGTTCTGCTGCCTCTTGGAATATTTAGTTTATCTTTTTGCTGCTTATGGGATGCCTTCTTAGTTATGGTAATTTTGTACAAGGTAACTGAAAACCTTGACTACCCAGATTGCCAGTAACTGCTGATGCTCTCCAAGAGGTTCATTCCTTTGGCTGTTACACAGGAACGCACAAAGTACGTAACATCTCTTGCTCTGTTTGCAATTTCCAACTATCAAGAGTAAACTTATAAAACTCAATGTAAAATCATCAAAAGATTTTTCTTGAAACCATAAAAAGCATACTGCCACACAAAGTTTCTCTAGGGCATAAATTAGTGTGTTGGGTTTGCATGGCAAGGTTTTGGTAGCGGGGGTGGGACATGGGGTGGCTTCTGTGAGAAGCTGCCAGAAGCTTCCCCCATGTCTGACCTGACACAGCCAATGCCAGCCGGCTCCATGGACGGACCCGCCGCTGGCCAAGGCCGAGCCCATCAGTGACGCCTCTGTGAGAACAGAATTAAGAAAAAAAAAAAGGAAGGGAGGGGAAAAAAAAAAAAGCTGCACACTTTGCAGCAAGAGAGAGGAGTGAGAAGATGTAAGAGAAACAACTCCACAGACACCAAGGTCAGTGAAGAAGGAGGGGGAGGAGGTGCTCCAGGCGCTGGAGCAGAGATTCCTCTGCAGCCTGTGATGAAGACCATGGTGAGGCAGGCTGTCCCTCTGCAGCCCATGGAGTTCCATGGTGGAGCATATGACCACCTGTAGCCCAGTGGAGCCTGGAGAGCCAAGGAGTCATCAGCAAAACTCATTCACCTTTTAATAGCTCCATATGGCCAGTGCAAAAGTCTGATGGTGCGTGGAGGTTAACAGTAGACTACCGTGGCCTGAATGAAGTGACACCACCACTGAGCGCTGCTGTGCCGGACACGTTAGAGCTCCAATATGAACTGGAGTCCAAGGCAGCCAAGTGGCACACCACCATAGACATTGCCAACGCATTTTTCTCTGTTCCTTTGGCAGAAGAGTGCAGGCCACAGTT